CACCACCCTGCACTGCTAGAGTGTGCCTTAAAGAAATCTGTCTTGAGGCCTATTAAACAGACCCATTCTGAGTCACCAGGAAGGGGGAAAAATCAGGAACTAGAAACTGACCCACCCAGCCAGCAGGTGCCACTGCGTTCAGGGGACAAAGTTCAAAGTTACACAGCATTCACAACCATCTAAGACCAGGCCAACCTTTCTGTTTACATTTCTTGAAGTGTGTTACTCTATGCAAGACTGCCCAGTTGACCCTTCCTACTTCTTTAGTAAATTTAGGTGTGTATGTTTGTATCCCAAGAGAAAAACCACAGCAGAAATTGCTGTCAACCTTATAAAAAAATTTTAGGTTGTGTACATGCTTGTACATCTGTGTACACACAGCTGTGTGAGGGTCCATGCAGTTGCCCTGGGAAGCCAGATTAGGGCTTCAGATTGCTTGGAGTTGAGGTTACAGACTTTTGTGAGCTGCCCAAAAAGGACTGGTCTTTTTTCTGTTAAAGAATCACTGATTAATTTTTGTACTTTATGAATTTAGTTTCTGTGATTTTTTTTTTTTTCAAGACAGGGTTTCCCTGTGTAGCCCTGGCTGTCCTGGAACTCACTCTGTAGACCAGGCCAGCCTTGAAATCACAGAGATCGACCTGTTTCTGCCTCCTGAGTGCTGGGATTAAAGACATGTGCCCTGAGTTGTCTTGGAATTTTGCCAGTAAAGTTATGCTAGCCTAGTGGAACGGTGTCTTAGTCAGTGTTCTGTTGCTGTGAAGAGGCACTGTGACCACAGCTACTCTTATAATAGCATTTAATCGCAGGCTTGCTTATAGTTTCAGGACCTTCCATTATCCCCATGACAGAATGCATAGGGAGCATGGTCCTGGTGCAGTATCTGAGTTACATCCTGCTCAGCAGGGAGAGAGACAGACAGAGACTGGGCCAGGTACCGGTTTTTGAAATCTTAAAGTGACATCCTTCCTCCAACAAGGCCACACCTCCTAATCCTTCTACTCTGTCAAATAGTTCTGCTCCCCATCCACTGAACATTTATTCAAATATATGAGCCTCTGGGGACAATTCTTATTCAAACCACTATAGATGACAGGAACTGAATGTCCCAGCACTTGGGAAGTTGAAGGAAGATAATGAGTTTGAGGCTACAACATAGTGTATAGCAAGCCCATGTTTGTTTATTTATTTTTTTATTTTTATTTTTCAAGACTGGGTTTCTCTGTGTAGCCCTGGCTGTCCAGGAACTCACTCTGAAGACCAGGCTGGCCTCGAACTCAGAGATCCTCCTGTCTCTGCCTCCTGAGTGCTGGGATTAAAGGCATGCGCCACCACCATCCAGCCACAGCCCATTTAAAAAAAAAAAGTTTCTATTGTAAAATTAAACATGCCTTTTATGGACTACACAAATACCAGAAGCTTTTCGTTAACCCCTAACATTGTGTGTGTGCCTGTGGATTGTGTGTGTGCATACATGTATGGGGTCTATCTACATGCTTTGTTCTGATAAGAGAGGTCTAATGTCTAGCTACAAACCAGATTTTTTTTTAAATTAAGCTTGAGATTAAATATTTATTATTTTGTGAGACTGCTGCTAAATGGGCTACCCCCACCCTTGTTTTCCTTGCCTGCCTGCATGTGAATGCTCTCTCTCTCTCTCTCTCTCTCTCTCTCTCTCTCTCTCTCTCCCTTCTGCCCTCCCCACCCTCACTCTCCCACCTCTGCCCCCTACCCCTCTGCTTTTTGATAGCTCTTACCAGGCAGTCAAGGCTGTGTGTGTTTACATATATGAATGCGGATGCATGTGAATCATGGGACATGCATGGAAGTTAGAAGTCAATTCTCACTAGCCAGGTGGGTCCCAGGGACCTAAAGAGGTGGGCAAGTTCAACAGCAAGTACCTTTACCCACTGATCCATCTCAATGGCCCTCCCAGAACAGGGTTGCTCTGTGTAGCCCTGACTGTCTCAGGACCCACTCTTAAACCAGGCTGGCATCGAACCCCCAGAGGTCTGTCTGCCTCGGTCTCCCTTGTGTTAGGATTAAAGTCGAGTGCCGCCGCCGCCGCCGCCGCCGCCGCCACCGGACCCCAGCATGTTTTGATCTGAAAAGCTGCCATTTAACTTCCTTAGACTCTCATAAACTTTGTTTACAATTCCTGGTGACATACACAGCAAGGGACTTGCTGTGACTGATTTATTGTTTGTCTTACCTCTGGTAATCCTGCCCAGCGCACTTCAGGATTTCCCTATGCTCTGACCTACTAAATATAACAGGTTCCTTAGAAACACTTCGAACAATCTAGCTGCTGACGCCACCACAAGCATACACCTGGTTGCTGTGACACATAGAAACACTTCGAACAATCTAGCTGCTGACGCCACCACAAGCATGCACCTGGTTGCTGTGACACATATGCACAGGTCACCCTGGAGACACTCACCCCAGGCGTGTACTGTTCTTTTCAAGGCATCCTCTCCCTACTCATGCCTGCCTGTGCTTAAAAGATTTTTTTCTGCTTAAGTTTTTTTTTAAAGACTTATGCAGTGTTTTTTTTAAGACTTAAGTATTTTATGCATATGAGTGATATGTCTTCATGCACACCAGAAGGAATCTGATCCTATTACAGATGGTTGTGAGTCACCAATGTGGTTGGTAGGAACTGAACTCAGGAAGAGCAATCAAGTGCTCTTAACCATGGAGCCATCACCCATCATATACTCACACTCACAATCCACAGGCACATACACAATATTAAGGGTTAACGGAAAGCTTCTGCTATAGGAGTCATTTGCGTAGCCTGTGAAAGGTATATTTAATTTGTTTTGTTTTGTTTTTCTAGGCAGGGTTTCTCTGTGTAACTTTGGAGCTTCCCCTGGCACTCCCTCTATATACCAGGCTGTCATCAAACTCACATAGATCCACCTGCCTCTGTCTCCCAAGTGCTGGAATCAAAGGCACGCATCACCAATGCCCAGCCAAGGTATATTTAACTTTACAATAGAAACATTTTTTTAAAAGATGGTCTTGTGATTGGATGGTAGTGGTGCATGCCTTGACTTAGTGTTTTATGTGTATGTGAGGATGCCTGAATGTGTGTATGTGCACCACACATTTATACAGAAGATACTGGGCCCCTGAACCTGGAGATATTGGTGCTTGTGAGCCCCTGTGGGTGCTGGAATTGAACTCTGGTTTTCTACAAGCTCATTCAATCTGTGAACAGACATAGTAGAAAGCTAAGCGAATCCTCCAAGGGCTGACTGGAGTGCCCAAAGATTCAGAAGCAGCCAGGCGGTGGTGGTGCATGCCTTTAATGCCAGTACTTGGGGGACAGAGGCAGGTGGATCTCTGTGAGTTTGAGGCCAGCTTGTTCTACAAAGCTACACAACAGAGAAACCCTGTCTCAAAAAAAAAAAAAAAAAAAAAAAAAAGACTCAGCAGCTTAGTCAGTTCAGTGTGTTGAGGGTTTTAAAGATGTTTTTGGCATTTATTCATTCAGTTTGTATGAGTGCACATGTGGGGGTCAGAGGACAATCTTGCAGGAGGTAGTTCTCTCCTTCCGCCTCATGGGTCCCAGGGATTGCAGCCTCATGGGTCCCAGGGGGATTGGACTCGGGTAATTTAGGCTTGAAAGCAAGCACCTTTATTTACTCTCTTAGCCATTGTACTAGCCCTTTAAAGAAACTGTTTGCTTTTGAATATTCATGAGGTGGGCAGCAACTCATGGTAGCCCTTTTTCCTGTCTGAAATTATGGTGAACCAGATCTTCCTTTCGAGGGAATTTCTTCCCATGATCTATCTCTACAGAGAATGGGTACCGAAACCACAATGTAAATGATGTAACAGTGCTGAGCCTATCTATGACTGCAAGGGTGTTTAACCGCTAAGGGTCATTCTGACTATCGACATAGGTCTCAAGAAGTGGCTGTAGCGGTCCTTGGCTTTCTCCAGTCTATCTCCTCTCTGGAATGGTAGGGTTTTCCTTAGAAGGTGTTCTTACACACAGTTCTGTCTGTTGCAATTCCATATCCTAGGAGAATATGGGAAAGGGCAAAGGTGCCTTGCTGAATGTGGGGCTTCCGCAGGCAGTTGGAGCCTGCCACCCACTACCAGCCTTGTTGTTTCCCCCTAACCCGCCCTTCCTCTTGCTATCAGATCAGCTTGGCTGTTCCATACCCAGCTGCAAGGCTTCTCATTCACCTTCAGCATTCATTGTAACATAGGCTTATTTCCACCATTACACAGTTTCGGCTAGGGGTCACTCCACTAGACCCCAGACCACCTTAACATTGTTCCCAGCATTTGGGAGGCAGAAACAGGAGGATCAGGAATTGAAGGCCACTCTCACTCAGCTTTAGACAATCAAGCCTGGGTTAAATGAAATTCTGTTATGAACAGAAACCACCTTGACTCTGGGGCTGGAGAGCTAGCTCGGTGGTTAAACTTACTTCCTCCTTCTCTCCCCAGCACTTGGGTGGTGGGGCTCATAATCACCCCAGCCCTCTTCTGGACTGCAACAGCACCTGCACTTACTCTGTGCATGCCCACACTCACACACATGGCTTGCCAGTCTGACTGTTATCTGAACGGCAATGTTTGGGGACAAAGTGGCATCTCCAAAAAGCCTCTGACTGACATTGCGGGTATTCCCAGGGTAAGTTGATGAAACGAATCTAAAATGACATAGTCTGTCAAAAGAATATGTGTTTTGATGCGACAGGCTACCCCGTGGGACTGAATCAAAGCTTACAGGTCCATCACCTCTGTTCCAATAGCAACTGCTGTACTTACTGCACACAGGGGCCATGGGCGCCACCAAGAGTCAGATGTGGCACCCCAAGTTAAGGGACACAGTTCTCCCACCCCGCCCCTGCCTGGCCTCAGACACCAGCATCACTTTGGTGGCACTTCTGAGTAACTGCAAATCCTGGGAGGGAGTGGCTGTGACCTGCCTATGGTTTGGTCATTTGCTAGAATTCACAGAAGGCAGGACAGCATTGTATTTATGATTTGAACTTTATTTAAATGAAAATAATCAGAAGCAGTCACATAGAAACACAAACAGGGCAAGGTCTGGAAGGATCTGGAGCAGAGCTTCCTTGTCCTGCTGTCCGTTACAGGACAAGAATATATCAGCCTGAAGCACAGCAGCCATGTATGTGTTCATCTGCACAGAAACTGCACTAGGTCTCCACCAGAGCTGGATTTGAACCACCATTTACCAGCAGGATTCCCAGAGGTTTCTGACTGACTCCAATCCCCAGTTCCCTCTTCTCCCTGCAGGGGTCCTTTGAGCTCAGTGCCTCAATCGAACCAATCACCAACCTGGTCTTTATAGTGGCCAGCTGCCATCCTGGGTCATCCCCCCTCTTGACAAAAATTCCACTATGACCCACAAGGCAGACAAATAATAATGACACTCCATCCTCTCAGGAAATTCCAAGGACTTAACACCCCCCCACACACAAACACACACACCCCAAACTAGGAACAAAGGCCAGCTAAATCCTTTAACGGCCAACAAAATATCTACACTTCCCAAGACACCTATTCCTCTGTAGAAAAGATCATGAGCATGCTTTTCATCTCTGGTCTGGGCCATTTTCCATATCACTATTTAATTTTTCATGATGGAAATGCTGAAGCATATGCATCTGTAGGAAGAATAAGAAAACAAGGCCCGGGTTCCCACCTCTCCTTGCTGGTTACTGAAGTGAGGTTTAGTTGTCATCAATATATCCTGGCACTGTCCTGAAGGTAGGCTTACATAGCCTCTCTCTGAGTATTTTTTACTCAAAGCTCCCTGCAATGGTGGCTACACTATGGTGGGGTTCAAGGGATCATAAGGCTGGAGTGGACCTGAGCACCCAGAGACCCTGGGTAGTAGCTATCAGGAGGTGAGCTATCAGTGGGTTTCAGCTTGAGTGACAACATCTTCTACCCACACCTCAATCCAGAAGGGACACCGAATTCTGCTTCACTGTATTCAAAGTAAGGTACAACAATCATCTTTGCCCTGCTTATGATGATTATCTTAATGAACCACTTCTAAAACACTTAGTTCAAGAAGTCATTAGCTAGAACATTAGTAATTAACTAAAATCAATAGAGGGAGGTAAATGGTGTAAAAGATAACATATCGATAGTAGTAATAGATCGAAAAATCACTCTCCAAGTAATAAGACTAGCCAGCCAGTCCTGGATAATACAAGGACTTGACCTTTAGTTTATCATACCAGAGTTACTGAGACAGTACCCAGCACCTGGGTCTAGGATAGGATTTTACATACGTTTCTGGCAAATTCTATATGTCCACAGGGCCCCAGTCTTTTCCTGTCACCTGTGTTAGATGTCTCTTCCATGTTGGAATGACAAGAGTGCTGAACAGAGCCATCCACCACCTTCCCACCTGCCTGGTTCTGCAAAGGACCCTATGGTACAGGATTCCAGAAACGTGTATGGTAAAGGTGAGGTCTTGCCATTACAAACAGAAAGGTACCAGACAGCACGGATACATACATTCTTCCCCTTGCAGCTCCAAAGCACCTGGAACCGCTCTGGGCTTTGGTTGACTGCTTGGCTCTCTCATAAACCGAGGGATACATGCCTTCCTAGCCTGAGCTGCACATAACCTGGGAAGAGTCCTGACTGTCAGTTTCATTTCTGTAGAAGAGTTCAAGCAGGACTCCTCAGTTATTCTGCTTCTCTAAACCTAGAGATGTTTTCCCAAGTCTGACTTGGTTTCAAACAAGGCTTTGTTCCAGAAGATCTGCATCTTCAAATTCAGAGAAGAATCACCAAAGAACTTGTGTAGCAAAGGAAAAATAACCTTTCAAAGGCCACACATCATCTACAGGGACATGTTCTCTGCAAAGATGCTCCCAGAGAACAGAATATTCCTCTGGGAGAGGACACAGATCACACATCTGTCAGTAATGTCAATGCTAAGTAAGAGCCCTGGAATTCCATTACAAGACCTGAGATGTGTTATGTTCTCAAACATCCTTCCATATGAAAGGTCTAGGGGCCCTACCTTCCCTATGGTGACCGCTCTTCATAGGAAGGCTTATAAGAGGGAGCTCCCCACTTAGGAAAGGGAGCTGGACTCCTGTCACAGAGGCCAAATCCTCACATGTTCTGGATTTGACATCAGTACAGAAGGAGGATAGGGAGATTCCAGTCATCCATCCCTGCCCTTTAGTGGCCTGGGCCATTTTCACTGCATGAAAGACCACAGAAAAAACAGCCCGTGGCCAGACCCTCCTTGGTTTTTTTTCTTATCCTTTAAGGTCTTCCTAACCTACAGTTCGGTCTATATGAGCACCCGGAATTGGCTCAAATAAGGAAGACAGAAGAACAGGCCAGGTTAGGTGATGGGTCTCAGACACATCACTGGGCCTGTAGTCTGTGGCTAGGGAAAAACAGGAATACGTCTGTCTCCCACAGGTCCCTCACACCATAGGCAGTCACCTCAGTGGATGATCTAGCATGGTTCCTGAAGCAACCATGTATAGTCCATCTGCACGACGGTAGAGTATGGTAATGTGGTGTGGATGGTCATTTAACTGTGGTAGCCCCGGAAGGCAAAAAGTGGCCTTTATAGCCACAGCCCAGTATCTACAATCCAAAGAAAGGGCGGCATTACTTATGAAGACTGCTGTCAAGACAAGACATTAGTAAGAAAGAGCAAAGCCATCAGGCTAATATTAATCCAGCCAGGGTTCTGCTCCCCTATCCCAACTCCCAGCACAAGCTATGGGAAGAAAGCCCTTTCTCTAGCTCTGTGGCCACAATCAACATGGCCCTGGTGAGACACCCCTTGGAGAGAAAGAGAGTCTGCCTCAACTAGATCAGGGTTGCCTTCACAAAAATCGACACAAGCTGGTTCAGATGAGAGTTTGAAGCCTTATTTACAAAAGGTTCCTTGAAGGAAGGGTTATATGGCAGTTCAGAGTAGGATGAATCTCAGTAGTAGGGCATATAAAGGCTCTAGATTCAATACCTAGCTCCAAAGAGATAATATATACACTGAACTCAGACTGGATTTTTGTTTTTATGAGACAGGGTTACACTATGTAACTGGCTATCCTGAAATTCACTATGTAGACCAGGCTGGCCTGGAACTCATAGATATCCACCTGCTTCTGTTGTCTCCAAGTGCTGGGATTAAAGGCATGCACCACCATACCTGGCTTTTCTGTTGTTATTGTTTTTTAAATCTAGAGCATAATCAAAACACAAAGGTCTGAAGGCTACCACAGAGAGTGGACATCCATCACCCAAGGGAAAAAAAAAAAAACATAGCTACAGATTTTCTGTAAGACAACAAGAAGCATTAACGATTTTTCCTCTCTGAAGCTCTGCCCAAGTGGCTAGCAGCCCAAGATTTCCCAGAACACTGGGAGGAGGTCATCCTGCCCTCAAGGGTACCGGGAGGTAGATATGCTTCCCCACCCGCAAGACAATCACCCCACCCCTTTCTGATCCAGAACTCCCCATTTTATTCTCTCAGCCTCTCCCTCAGCTCGCCTTCCAATCTCCTATCTGTTGGGGACTCAAAAGTTTGCCAAGGAGAATCCCACCTACATACACCCCCCCCTTTTTTTTTAACCAGTCTTGCATGTTTCCCAGCAAGTCCGAGTGTCTGAGGCTGGCCTAGTGGCCTGCCTACTTGGAGGAGGAGCAGATGGAAAGTGTGGTACCTGAAGAGAATACCCAGAAGGCTGGGTACAGGGCTTCAGTAAAGTCCACCTTGTACTTATACAACACATAGACCTTTTCAGTGACAGCAAAAAAAATGACAAAGCCATGGTCACAGCTGAGAAGCACACCAACTCGAGTGGCTTTGGTGGAGGGCAGGGTTTTCTCCACGTTGTTGTGCCAGGCAGAGATCTTGTTATTGAACCATTCCACACACCACGAGTTGGCATTCCGGCCCAGCCGGCTCTCAGGGCCCTGCCGCTCCATGCTGCCGTAGCAGATGCCTACACCGCAGAAGTTGTTCTTCTGTAGCTCAACCTCCCAGTAGTGAATGCCTTTCTTATAGCATTGCAGCCCCAGAACCTGAGAGCAGTAGGTGAACCTCTGGGGATGGGACCGGTACTGCTGAAGTACATCAGCCACAGAGGCGGTGGTGTAGCTGTCTGACAGAGCCACTTTGTTGTGGGCAGTATTGTAGTCAAAGACGACTTTAACAGAATCTGAGAAAACATCCCCGGGGGGAATCAATGACAAGAGGCCCAAGATACTTTCACTTTTAAACCCTTCCCCATCTAAACATTTATTGTATCCACCTACCCATCTACATATCCACATACCCATCTATCTATCTATCTATCTATCTATCCATCTATCGACACTTCATCCATTCATCCATCCATTCACTCATCCACCCACTCATCTAACCATCTATCCATCTACCCAATCATACACACAATCTACCCATCCATCCATTTACTCAATCACATACACCTATCCATCTACCCATCCACCCACCCATCCATCCAACTAGCCATTTATCTCTTCAAACACCCACTCAGATACACGCATCATCTATCAACCCATTCAACTACCCACTCACCGATATATTAACCACCCATTTATCTGTCTGTTCATCCACCCACTTAACCATCTACCCATTTATGCATGTATTTGCCCACCCACTTTTCTATCCACATAGCCAAGCTACTCACATTCCAGAAGCTCCGCTCTAGATTTGCTTAAGAAGTTTTCTAGCACCTTAGCTTTGAGTGCAGTAGAGTTTGGCTGTGGGGTGTTGACTTTGGGTGTGGCTAGAAGAGGAAACAGAGGTATTCAAGACAAGCTTGGGACAAATGGTAGATATTTCCCAGGCACTCGGTCACAACAACTCACCATCAGGGGCAGTTGTATTAAAGTCCATTGACTGTCCAGGAGCTCCAAAGGTAGGAAGCTTGTTGGATGAGGGAGAGCTGGGAATGGAGCCAGTAGCAGCAGCTGAGAGTTGAGGGAAGACAAACATGAGACAGCAATATGACACAGAGGACCGGATGACCTCTCCTCCCTTCTAAGACAGCTGTCAACTTCCACAAACACCCCTGAGCAGCCAGGGCCATACAAGTGATTCCAGATAAGACTCGTTATCTGTCTTACTCATTTGCAGTGGTCTTCCCTTCCCTGCTCAGGCCTGCCTGCCTTCACAGCGTACATTTGTTAGGACAGGGCTATGGCAGAACCCTTGTTAAAGCAGTTCAGCTGTTGCTCTCAATGTTAGCTCTAGTCTCAAACAAGTCATGGGAACCAAGAGATACACAAATGTACAACTTACTTGCTTTCTTGGTCTTCTTTTCCTCTAAAAAAGAAACATTTTAGGATTAAGGAATTTTAAAGCACACTGCCATTCACAAAAGACCATAGTAACATTCCTCAGCATGTGCTTGACACACACAAACTAAGGAAGGCTGGCCTAACTTGAAGTATAAGGTGGTGGCTGGCAAACACACATCTACAAGAACAGGAACCCCACAAGGGTCATGGGGACTGACTATTAGGAAATAGGAAGGAATTTTCTAGGAAATGTTTATGTTGGTTTGGATAATGATAAGCTGGGACCCATGTGTCAAAAACGTATTTAACTATACATTTAGGGTCTGTACATTTTGCTACAGCAGATCAGAGCTTTGCAAGAGAAAGAAAGGAAAAAAAAAAAAAAAGAGGAAGTCAGGAAAAAATAGTCTGGTGAAGTATCACAATAGTGCTTAAAAAACATCCTGCCTTCCCCAGGGCTCTTCCAAGCACGCCCTGTCACTAGGTGTTCCAGTCCACAGGGAGACCAATGCTAAAGACAACTCACACATTACAAACAAGCAACAAGCAGTAAAGTGCACCCAGAGTCCTCTTACACCCCGGACACCAGCAGCAGCGGGTATCTCAACGTCTTTTCACACTGACCTGGGGGAAAAAGTTACAGCTAGCTTGTTTAAAAGGACCATAAAGAGCTCTCGCAATCAGAGTGTTGCATGGGAACCTCACCTGCCTTCACCCCACAGGCTCAACTGTCATGATTCTCCAAATGTGAGGGGCAAGGAGATTCATACTATTCTTCTCCAGCCCAATGTCCACATTCCCAATGACAGAGACACCATCCCTGATGGAGGCGGGGAACAGGGCTAAAGATCTAACACTTGACGTGTGGGGTGTGAAAAGTGTTCTTTTGCCAGGCAGTGGTGGCACACACCTTTAATCCCAACAATTGGGAGGCAGAGGCAAGGGGGGTCTCTGTGAGTTCAAGGCCGGCCTGGTCTATAAAACAAGTTCTAGGACAGCCAGAGCTGTTACATATAGCTGATACATATATCTGTCTCATTAAAAAAAAAAAAAAAAAAGGTTTATTTCTTTCCTTCCTTTTTCTTTTTTCCTTTTTTGAGACGGTCTTTCTACATAGCCCTGGGTGTCCTAAACTCACTATGTAAAGCAGGTTGGTCTCAAACTCACAGGTGCTGGAATTAAAGGAGTGTATCACCATGCCCTACTTACTGCTTGCTCTTTTTATAAATAAACCAATATACTGCCCATGTGGAAAATCAAATTTTCACTGGTGGGCACAATTAGGAAAACATTTTCTATGGCTCAGTGGGAGAGCTCAATAGAGGAAAATCGTGAGAAACATGAGGCTGGGGAATTGGCTCAGTGGGCAAAAAGCACTTGCTATGCAATCACAAGGGCCCGAGTTCAGATCTTCAGACCCCAGATAATGCTAGCTGGGGTGGCATGAATCTGTCCCAGAACTCTCATGGCAAGATGTCATATGGACACAGGAGAATCCCAGGAGCTTTCAGACCAGTGAGTCTGGCTTATGTCATGGCAAACGAAAGACCCTGTCTCAAACAAAGTTGAGTTCTGACTTTCACACTTGCACTACGTGTCCACACTCACACAGGAAAGTTGTTGGAACAGCAATGGTGTGCATTAAAGCCAGTTGGGGAGAGAGCACACTTATTAGCCGGGCTTGGAGTATCAAGTGTTTCTCAAATACATGACAGGTTCGGTGACTTTGCTATCCTACACAGCCCCAGGAGAGTGCCTGCCTGGCCCTGCACCAACTGTTATATGGGACCTGTTTTGGAGTAAAACTTGGGGTGGGTTGTGACTGTCTGGAGGCTGCAGTGCCCTATGGGATGTTTTCAGCCAAGCAGCCACAGTGACACCAGAGAGATGGGAGGAGGCTACTTACGTGGGGTCTTCTTCGCAGGGCGTGTATATTTGGGTGTAGACTCTGAACCATGCTCTCCCATGTCACCTGTGCCAGAGAAAAGGGGCTGGCTGTAGGTGGCTCCTCCCCCGCCAACTCCAAGAGGTACATTTGTCAAGGCTGTGGACAGAACACCAACACAGCCCTCCCACTGACCATCCAGTCACTTTCAAGAGACAGAAATAAAATGCTAGAAGGACCAATTTGTTCCTTCTCTTCTCTGCTTACAAGGCAACTGGGGGTGAAATCTCCTCCTCAGCACCCAATTCTGAGACTTCTCTGAGATTTGGTTTCTTTGGCCATCCATCAAGGAGAACGATAACTTGATGATGACTGATGGGATCCCGGAATGAGGTCAAGGTGTCTGCTGACCAGGCCAATGTCAGTTTCTTGTCCATTAGTTCTTTCTTCCCTCTCTCTGCAGGCTTGTCACTCACAGATTTACCCTATGTGAAGTACTTCCAGAACCTTCCACAAGGTGCCTCCCTGTGTTACTCAACAGGGTTCTTAAAAATATGTCAAACCCTCTCCTCAGCACTGCGGGACAGCTTTTGACAGCAGACAACAACCCCAGCCTCATAGAGGGAAGAGGCAGAAAAACAAAAAACAAAAAACAAAACAAAACAAAAAAACTTGATGACTAGGTGTGGTGGTACACACCTGTAATCCCAGTACTTGGGAGGTAGCAGATGGCCTGGGCCACATGAAGAGATCTTGTTTCAAACAACCAGGTCTGTGGTGGAGTGCTTGCCTAGCATACATTGGGATCAGTCCCCAGAATAGAGTGCTGTATGTGTGTAAAGCAGTGAAACAAGATGATGACTCAGATGTCAAGGAAAGAAAGGAAAGGTGTGTCAAGGAGGAATTTCAGGTTTCTCCGATCCTGGAACTAGCCATATGTCTCTATCCACCAAACATGCTGGTAGTCGAGGGTCACCCAAAACCCATTCAAGCTAGTCTCCAGAGCCAACCAGAACACCAAGCTCCACACCTCTTTTTGGAAGGATAGCTGTGATGTCAGGACAAAGCAGAGGCACATCCAAGGGAGAAAGCAGTTTCAGGACCCCTGAAATTCAAGCCTTGATGATCTGGATCACACCCTAAGACACCAAAGGGACCATCAAGGTTGGGTCACTGTAGTTACCTGAGGCAATGGGCTCCTCAGCCTTCTTCTCCTGTAGCTGCTTGAGGGAGCGCTTCAGCTCACTCTTGAGGTTCAGGGCACTCTGGTAGATGCCCTTTATCAACTCATGGTCTGGGTCTATCTTGGGGATGTAGACTGGTTTTGTTGACATTCCTTGCAATTTCGCCGCTTTCTGGAACAAGTCAAGGTGTTAAGTACAGGCAATTTGCAGGATGCCAGGGCCTGGGCTCCATCCTCACTAATCCCATAAGATATTTCCTTTGTCAACAATGAGTCCAGCAGCCTGCTTCAATCACAAATCCAAGGTCACCAGCAATTGAAGTGTTCCTTTAAGAGCTGGAGCTGGGGTTTGGAGAGGCAGCTTAGTGGTTAAGAGCAGTGGTTGCTCTTCCAGAGGTCCCGAGTTCAGTTCCCAGTAACCAACATGGTGGTTCACAACCACCTATAATGGAATCTAATGCCCTCTTCTGGCTGGCTGTAGGTGGCGCCTCCCCACCAACTCCAAGAGGTACATTTGTCAAGGCTCATACATTAAAAACAAACAAAAAAACAAAACAAAACAAAACAAAACTGGAAGGACCTCAGAGATCACTTATCCTACAAATCAGGAAAGAGATCTAGACATGGCAAGTGGCTTGCCAGAAACTGTTCCAATGAGAGGCACAAATATGATGGTCCCATTCTCTGGAGCTCCTCCTCTCCTCCCAAGAAATACATAACCCTCCACCCAATGAAGCCCTAACCGAAGGTCTGATAATGGGAATGGGCAGGAATTCTCATGGCATACAAGGTTGATCTAGGAAATCTTCTATGGGGGTTGGGATGGGGATGTCATTGAAATTGCAAAGTTATTTCACTAATTTGAGTCCTCTAGAATGAGGGGGTCTCAGACAAGGACTTTGAATCTTTTCCCAGAGAACTCAGCAGTTTTTAGGCACAGGAATGAGCTCCCAAGGGCAGCATAAAACCTCCACCAAGGCACCAGCAGGCATCACACAGAGCAAGCTCCATTACTCCTGTATTGAGAGCAGGGGATCTGGGTCCTTGGGGGACCAAACCAGGTAGATCACAGAGATCTGGGCCCTGCACTGGACAGGCAAGGGAGAAGGGAATAGTGACAAGATGCAGCTTACAGCCAAAGGATACACAGAAACAAGCACATCTGAAATGACATTGTTAGTGCTGTGGTGATGGCAGAGTGGGACATACTCTGCCACACTAATAATGTGTAACAGCGGGACTCAAGGGGTGGCCCTGGAAAAAGGACATAATTAATCAAAAGGGTGATTATCCTGGGGGGGGAGGGAGCAGGATACTTAATTGGGTAAAAGACCTCAATAGAGAAAGTGGGCCTTCCTAGAGGGAAGAATGTTCCTGCTGGCACGGGGAAGCAGATACCGTCAAGTTGAAAGACGGCCTCAGCAGCCAGCCAGCTAGAAAGTGTACACTTGACCTGTAACCCCAAGGAACTTAAACTGTGCCTGTAGCCAGGTGCGCTTGGAAAACAGCCCAGCCTGCATCTAGACTGCTGATGCCATGTCAACAATCGGGGAGCCACACCCAGATACCGAGCTAAGGGAACAGCGGGACAATAATCAGATGTTCTCTAAAGCCCCCAAACTCAGGTAAGCTATTGCAGAGCATAGAAATAGAACGCATCTCCGGGACACTTCCAGCCCCAACTCCAGGCTGCCCAGACTACTATCAACTCTGGGGTACTCGCACACATAGCAGCACCCTCGTCACGACTCACCTCCAGAAACTCAAACTCGTCCCCTTTGGCCAGGGTGAGCTCAACCTCCGCCTTCAGGCTCTGCATCTCATTTTTCTTCTTGACAAGAACCTGGTAGATGGTGTCCAGCTTTCCGTAGACCCTCTTCTCCTCCTCCTTCAGCTTGCGTGTGGAGCTGGTCTCTGCTGAATCAATGACAGCCTTCATTTCCATATACTCTTGTCTCAGTTGTTCCATCTTCCTGTTCATAGAGTCCTGCAAGGGCAAGATGACATGACGGGCCCTGTCAGACGGGGGAAATGCTAAGGCCGACGGGGCTCCTGTCAGACGGGGGTGGGGGTGGGGGTGGGGGTGGGGGGTGGGGGGGGGTGCTAAGGCCGCCGCACTCCTGCGTGTCGGGAAGAAGGAGCACCGGGAACTGTATGACAGACACTTCATGGCACCACTCTGGCCAGCCACTTGGCAATGCCCTGTCCACCCAGAGGCATGAAACAATTTCAGAAACTCCCTAAAGAGGATTATTCCCTAAAACTCTCCTTTTGAGTGTTACACATGGCTTCTGAGCATTTGAAATGTGTCAAGTTCAAGAAGAGCTGTATCATGACTGAGTAGACACGATGTCAAAGTCTTGATACCACCCAATACTCGGGAGGTAAAGGCAGGCAGATCTCTGTGAGTTCAAGGCCATCCTGGTCTACAAAGGGAGTTCAAGGACAGCTGGGGCTATTACACAGAGAAACCCAGTCTTGGAAAAAACAAAAAAACAAATAAAACAAAACAAGAAAATCAGAGATGTCTGGAATGTTTCTGGTAGACAGTGTTGCTTCAACAGTTGTATTTTTTTAACAGACTTCTTGGGTAACCTCAATAGTTTAGAATCAAACCTGACAAACCAAAATACTGTACACCAAAAGAGTGGAATTCAACTTTTAAAAAAACTGTTACCTTTATTATTAATCATTATTATTTTGTTGTTGTGTGCACATGCCCCCAGGAGGTCAGAGGGCAACTTTCAGGAGGTGTTCTCCTCTCCCACTGTTCTTGGGCATCAAGCCCCTTTACCCACCGAGCCATTTCACTGAGCCTCAACTCTCACTCCAGCCCTTCATTCCACCTCTCTGTGAACACCAGCGCCCTTCGGTGTTCATTTCCTCCTTTGTTCTTTATTAAGAGAACACCCCAGGAGTGTCAAGTGGGTCTACAGCGTCTCAGACTACATTTCCCAGAATACCCTGCAACTGGGCTTGGCCAGGGTGGCTAAGTAGTTAAATTTTCTCCCGTGAGTCAAGGCTAGAAGTGGTATGTGCAACATCACATTGATTGCTTAAAAGGAAATTGCTTGTTGCTGGTATCATCCATTTTGTTCCCCTTTTCCCAGGCTCGAGCAAGCAGGTAAAGGTGACCCAGAGTAAGGACCCAGCTTGACATAAATTTTGCCATGTTTTTCTAAAGGGCCCAAACCCTCATCCAGCTCCCTGCTTTGGCAGTCATCACAGGCTGCAGAAAAGACCCAGCAAGATGTAGACCCCTGACTAAGCAACATGTGCTAGGCTCCTGACCTTGCCCTAATCACTAGGAAGCCAGATACCCTCCATGTGGCAAGGAACCAATCAGAAGTCAGCTGGTGGGCTCTGGATGTGCTTTACTGATAATAGTGGAATGCAGAGGAATGGCCTCTTCCTTTCTGCAGCTGACCAATCAACACAGGCCAGGTTGCCCAAACCCAGATGTGCACCAATCCTAAGACTGTTGCTATGAAAGTAGAGGACCCCCAGACACTCCCCTTGTTCTACTCCAATATATTCCCTGCCCCACTGCTGCTCAAGGTCCTTTTGTTTCTCCTGCTGTGTCTGATGGATGGGGGAACCCAAGTTAACACATAAAATTAAAGACTCTTTCTTTTGCATCTTTTGCACTACTCCTGGTGGTTTTTGTGGGGTGCAGGTTCAGAGTCTGGGCACAACAGGCACAACAGTTTGTTAACTGCCAGATGACCCTAACAGAAATCCCAAACCCTACAGGACATGATAATAGTTGCTGTTATTGTTATTATTTTATAAAAGCTAGATACATTCCAGTTGGCCATGGGCCTATCTTAGCACATAAACTATTTCCTCCTACCTTGGGGCACAGGGACCCTCTTGTCACTACTTAACATATCCTGCTGCCAATAAATTCTTAATATATTACAGCCTGTGCAATCCTAGATCTGCCAGCATCTCTGTTCTTCAGTATCTTCTGACTTGACAGCCAGTTTCTATAATAGTCTTTGGCTTAAAAAAAAAAAAATCCAGCTTCAAAGACATAAGAGCATCACACTGTGGAGTAGTAGGGCAGAGTTACTCTTGTGTGGGCTTAGGCTGTTAAACCAAGCAAAATTAACCACTTTATTGAAGTCTCTGTCTTTGAATGGATCCTCATCCTAGGAGGTTAGCCTGCCCTCCCACCAAAATTCATAATTCTACCTTCACCCTGTAGGTCTCACTACCTCCTCAGAGGAGTTGTGGTTGCATTGTGGGTGTGGAGGGGTTGGAAGTTGCGCTTCCACCAACACAACTGAAGCCACACAAGCCAGTCCCTGAGCTGGTATCAGAATCCAGACCTCAACTGCACAGTTGCTGCAGCTCAGCAATGGTATTCTTAAAATTCCAGCTTCTTTCTTTCAATCTAGGGGTAATGTGGCACTGGAGAGATGGCTCAGTGGTTAAGAACACTGCCTGCTCTTCCACAGGACAGTTTGATTCTTAGCACTCAGATGCAGGCTCTGGACCATCTGTAACTCCAGTCCCAGGGGACCTGACACACTCTTCTGATCTCCAGAGGCACCAGCACGCATGTGGTACACACATACAAACAGGCAAAATACCCATAGACATAAATTACATTTTTTGTTTTGTTTTTTGAGACAGGGTCTCTGTATTATTTTGGAACCTGTCCTGGAACTGGCTCTGTAGCCCAGGCTGGCCTCGAACTCACAGAGATCTACCTGCCTCTGCATCCTGAGTGCTGTGATTAAAGGCATATGCCTCCATACCAGGCTAATTTAATTTTTTTAAATGTAAAATGGATCTGCCATTGATTTAACATGGCAACATGTCCACTGCTAGCCTATGATATTTCCTTCTTAGTTTTTTTTTTTTTTCTATTAATGTCAGACAGCCAAAATATCTACCTACATCCTAGAGCCGGTGAATACGGCCTCTGTTAGAACAAGGATCTTTGCAAATGTAGTTAAATTAAGAGTGAGATCATCTTGAGTTAGCCAGGTGGGTGTTGAGTGGAAGAAAAGGTATAGGAGGGAAATATGGAGGCGGCCACAAGACAAGACCTGAGCTTCCAGAAGCTGGAAGAGGCAGGGAAAATTCTCCTCAGGACACATTTCCGTCTTTTTCTTCCTCTTCTTCCTCCTCCTTCCTCTTCTTCCTCCTCCTTCTCTTTTTTAAAAACTATTTATTTATTTATTATGTATATACAGTGTATTGACTACATGTGTTCCTGCAGGTCAGAGGAGGGCACCAAATCTCATTACAGGTGGTTGTGAGCCACCATGCGGTTAGCTGGGAACTGAACTCATTACCTCTAGGAGAGCAGTCACTGTTCTTAACCACTGAGCCATCTCTTTAGCACCTACCCCCTTCTAAGATCAGGTCTCACTATGTAGTCCTGGCTAGCCTAAAACTCACAGAGATCCGACTGTCTTTAGGTCCTGACTGCTGGAATTAAAGGTGTGCATCACCATGACTGGCCTATTTATTTATCCTCAATTTTTATTTACTATTAGGGGGAGGCATGTGACACTGGAGGTGAGAGGTCAACTTTGTGGAGTTGGCTCTCTCCTTCCACCTTGGCTTGGATCCAGGGATTGAATTCAGGGTGTCAGGCTTACACAACAATCACCTTTACAAGCTAAGCCATCTTTCTAGGCCCCTTACCCTTAATTTTTAGTGATTCTCCCAAGGCTGGGCTGAACAGATAATTTTCTTGGATATGTAGTTTTTGAACGGAAGACCCCCTCCCCCAAGACAGAGTTTCTTTGTGTTGCCTTGGCTGTCCTAGAACTCACCTTGTTGATCAGTCTGACCTCAAACTCATAGAGATCAGCCTGCCTCTGCTCCCCCCACCCCCTAACCCCCCCCCCCAAGAGCTGAAATTCCTGGCATTAAAGGAGAGCACCACCACTGCCCGGTGTTATTGTTGTTGTGTTTTTAAGAGAGTTTCATGTTGGGCATGGGGGTACACGCCTCTAATTCCAGCACTCAGGAGGCAGAGATGGGCAGATCTCTGTGATTTTTGAGGTCAGACTAGTCCACATAGTGAGTTCCAGGATAGCCAAGACTACACAGTGAGACCCAGGCTGATCTGGAACTCACTATGTAACTGAAGATGACCTTGAACTTCTGATCCTACTGCCCCACAGTTTCTGTGGTACTGGGATGGAACCCAAGGCTCCAAGGGAGCTACACAAGCACTCTACCAACAGAGCTATGCTCCTAGTCACGCCCAGGTCACCACTATGTCTGTCCTCTCTGAAGGATGGATGGTGTTTTGGCGTTTCCAGGCTGCGGTGGAGGATTCACCTACCTGCACACTATGCTGTTTGGCTCTCACATCCTCCAGTGCTCTGGTTGCCCCATTGATGTGACTGTACATGACGGCAAGCTTATGCCTCAGTTTGTTCTGTAGAGGAAACACAGGGTGAGAGGTCCCCTCTTTAGCCTCCAAGCCTCCCCACACTGAGGGCCATTCTCACCATCCACCCACTGGTACTTCTGCCTACCCTGGGATGCTTGTATTTGATGCCCACCTTTTCTCCTTTAGGCAGACAATATAGAAACGTTAAGACTTGGAACCAAAAGGACTGTTCCAAATCCTGGTCCCAGCTATGTGTCTTTGCTCTATTTCCTTGGTCATGAACAGATACCACTGTGGCCGCCTACAGGGGCTATCAGGAAGACTAACCAACGCAAGTCCCATGCTCAGAGCACAGTCTGGCTTTGCCTAAGACCACACTAACTCATCTTCTATTCTAATACATTTCTTTCCTACTACTCATTTTACAGCTCATGAAAGCCAAGCAAGGGGATAGTGAGTGGGCGCTCACTGAGACGTAACGATCTGGGACAACTGTTTCTGTAATGGCAGATGAGGTCACTCACCCTACCACAGCAAACACACTTGAAAGCAGACAAACTATCAAAGTAAAGATACGCTACAAGATGCCGGAGAACAGTGGAGTTTCCAGGAAAAGGGAACCCAGCAAAGGAGCCCAACATTCAAGGCTGCCATGCCCAGAGGCTCCTCCCAACTGCAGAAGGAAAGGAAGCTAGGCAGCAAAGCAAGAACAAATATCAAACTGTACTTGGCCACCCCAGACTGGGGCCACTAAAGCCTGGGAATCAGGATAAGCTGGTCACCCAGGCCTGAAACAGCTAAGCTGATTCAAAACCACCTGGCTCTTAGCCAACTGCAGAAGCATGGTCTCCTCTGTCCCTGCTCAGATGGAACGGTGATGTACAGAGACGAGAAGACACCATAACGAGGGATGTTATGAAGTGCTTACACACGCCAGGCACTCTCCTAGCGCCTGACACCTAATCGCTTCTTAAAGCGAAAAGCAATGCCTAGAAGGGATATGGAGATACAGAGGACTCCGGTGACTCACCCAAAACCACAGTTTTAGTAACTGGCATAGCTAAGGTTCTAGAAGTAAACTTATAGACAAGTGACCAAACTGTGTATGCTAGGAATTTCTAGGGAAAACAAACAAACAAACATTTTCTTCCCCTAACCAACTAGCTCAACACCCTGCCGCCCTCTCTTCTACCTTCCTGTTTCCTCTACTCACTCCATTAGAGTCCCTTGGAGCTGGACCTGACCTGGAGGCTGGATTTCAACCATCCTCCAGGTCACAACTGTCACATGTGAGGGCTGGATACAGAGATCAAGGCTACACAAACTCTAGCCAGAAAGCCCAGGTCAGTGATGTCTGACTCAACCTCTGTGACACAGCCCTTACCCCCCTGGTCTCCAACAGTGGCTGAGATAGATTTGGGCCAAAGGGCAAACGAAAGCAGATCGTGCCTTCCCCAGCTGGAAGAGAACACATGGGTGCTAGTAACTGGCTCACTTCCAGAAATGCATGTCACCGGGAGCCCTCCCTGCTGAAAGAGTTAGCCACTATTCATCAAACCAGATAACAGTCCCCTCGTGTGCATAGGGGTCCACTCCACCCTACTTCAAACCAAAGAGAAGCAGCCCCAGGGCTCAGGTGATGATATAGTCCACTGAGACCTTTTTGAAGTTTGGGAGTGCTTGTTGTAGACAAAGGACCTGGGTCCTCCTCACCGGAGAGAATGCACCCCCAAACTGGCAGCAGGGATACCCAAGACTGGGCAGTGCTTGTCAGGGACCGACATTGAAACAGCAAGTGCAGCAGCGGGGTTGAAAAAGACACGGGTTCGGCAGGGGAATCCTGCTATCAGGATTCAAAGAGATAGCGAGAATGGCCACTCACTCGAGCTCTAAGCAAAAAGGCTTCAAGAGAGCAGAGGCTCAGGCCAGGCTAGGCAGGCCCCTTCCGCCTTGGTGAACAGGTATTTCTAAAAGTGCCCTCCTTGGAAGCCAGGTTACTGGCAAGTCATCTTGACCGAGACAGAGACCATCAGGATAGTGTGTTCTGTCTGGGGCTGCCCCAGAGTTATAGGATGCCTCATCCATTCAGGCCCAATAAGGAAAGCGGTAGTAGCCTATATGGAGATTTTGCAGAAAGTTGTTTTTTATAGACTGCCTCGACTACCTTCTCCCTTATTTTTATTGTTTTTTTTTTCCTTAATTTTTTATTACATTTATTTATTTGTGGGTATCCGTTCACACACATGCATGATCTCTTGCATATAGATGTCAATTTAAAGGACAACTTGATGGCTCTATTTCTACTATACAGGTCACTGGGATGGAACTCAAGTCACAGCCTTGGTAACAAGTGGCTTTACCAGCTGAGCCATCTCAATGGCCATTTGTTGTTGTTTTGAAACAAGAGTCTCACCCTGGAGTTGACCTGAAACTATGTAGCTCCAGGCTGGCCTCAAACTCATGGTGGATCTTCCTGTGGAAGCTTCCCAAATACTGGAATTACAGGCTTGAGCCACCACACCAGCTTCACCCTCTGTTCACTCTAACCTGAGACCAGCACCTCTGTGCCCCCCATTTTATCATTTTGCATCTAGATGCTATAAGCGGTGTCAGGATTTAAACCCAGATCTTGGCACTGAATCTAGTAGGAACCTCATAGGTGCCAGGTCTTCTGTCACGGATCCTGCCTCCAAAGCACTTCCCAGAGATCTGCAGTGACTTGCCTTAAGCCAAAAAGCTCTGTGGGGCAAAGCAGTGCCCAAGGCTCCAAAGGCTGGGCAGACTTTCTTCTAGAACACATAAGACTCGGAGGTGTCCATACCCTCATAGGGTGTACGGAGGTGAACTCAAAGAATATACCTTTAAGTTCAATTGCCAAGGTTGGGGGTGGGGAATATCCTGAGGAACCTGGCTAAGACCCAAGCAAAGTCAGGGAAGGGCTGTGGCAAGAGGGAGCAGATCCTGGCAGAGCTGGGATCCTGGTCCTGGCATCGATTGCAAAGCCTGCCAACCTCACCCAGGCTTATAATTCCTTTCACAACACTGGGACAGGTCTCAACTTCCCAGACATTTGATGGTAGAAGGAGATCAGACCACACTTCGACAAATGTGGCAGAGGGGCAGCTTCTGCAGAGTCCACTGGGGGAAGATAGGAGCCTCTAATCCTAAAGCTCCTAAAATCATCGCAACCCTGAAAGGCCCTCGGGAACTCTGTCCTGTCCGTGTCCTCCCCCCCTCCTTCTTTATCTAAGTGGACCCAGGTACGGAGGTTAAACCCTTGCTCAACTTCACACAGCAAGAATGACTACACTAGGCTGGGTGTTGGTGGCACATGCCTTTAATCCCAGCACCAGGAGGCAGAGGCAGGCGGATCTCTGTGAGTTCGAGGCCAGCCTGGTCTACAGAGGGAGTTCCAGGACAGGCTCCAAAGCAATACAGAGAAACCAGGTCTCGAAAACCAAAGGGGGGAAAAAAAAAAGAAAAAGAAAAGAAAGAAAGAAAAAAAGAATGACTACACTAGCCAGGCATGGTGGGACACACCTTTAGTCCCAGCATTTGGGAAGCAGAGACAGATGGTATTTCTGTGAGTTCAAAGCCAGCCTGGTCTATCTGGTCTATATTGTGAATTCCAGGACATCCAAGATTAACTACATAGTGAGACCCTGTCTCAAAAAGAAAAAAGGAAGGAAGGAGAAAAGGAAGGAAGGAAGCAAGCAAGGGACTACACCACGGCACAACTGGCTTTCCCTGAAGGCCACATGCAGGGGTTCCTGGGGCTCTGCCCACCCTCCCTGTCCATTAGAACTCTCCGGATCAACACAGGCCTCTGCTTACAAGCTCCCTGCTCTGTACTCAGCAGACATGGCCTACAGGGGGACAGGAAACCAGAATTGTGAGTCAAAGCAGCAGTTTCTCTGCTCTGATGGTTTGGACACTGACTGCATTAGCATTGCTAAGTTAACATCTCTGGGCCTCTTTTCCAGAACTGCGGAAGGAACTAAGAGCACACAGTTCTTACATGAGGCCAAGATCTGGGGGAGGGAGAGAGATAAGCCCCAGGGTTCATAGTTAATATTCAAAACTACTAAACGCCGGCTGACAAACGCAGCCTTGGGGGCAGGCACCCTTAACTGGTTCCTTCGTCTGTCTGCTATGTAAAACACACATGAGAGGGTTGGGGAAAGAAGGCGATGGGTAAGGGGAGGCGCTATATAATTTCCCTGCTCTCTGCTTGGTCAGTGGGAATGACACCCCCACCCCCTCACACACACACACACATTGCCCAACTCACAGACAGTGACCTATGGAGCCTAGGGCCATGAGGTTATGTGAAGGGCGTCTCTGGTCCAGTAAAGCCTCAGGCAAACCACTGGACAAGGCACCCAGGATGGGCTCTCTCAACAATTCTGCTGGCCCGGGATGTCCTCTATACCCTCAGTAGCCATCCCTACCTCCAGGTCGGCGCTGGCCTGGCTTAGGAGCATAGGGGAGCAGGTCTTGTGCTCTACCACGCAGATATGGCAGATACACTCGCCATGCTCGGGACAAAACAATTCCCGGAGGCGGTTGTGCTGGGGACATTTGCGGCGCAGCAGGTCACGGACGGGTGGCTGCAGGGGGTGGTCCTGGAAGGCGGGACTGTCGAAGTGCGGTCTCAAGTGCTCCTGGCAGAAAGAAGCCATACACACTAGGCATGTCTTCACCGCGAGCTGCTTCAGGCAGTGGTCACAGGCCACCTCGGTGGCTGAGCTGGAAGCACCGGAACGGGCAGGGGGGATCCAGTCGTCCGCCGGCGTCCGTGCCTGCTCCGCCTGCAGGAACTGCTCCACCACCGCGCACAGCACCGTGTTTTTGTGCAGCTGCGGGCACACCTGGTACACCGTGCGGCACTGCGGGCACCGATACGGCGGGCCCTGGACGACCCACGTCTCATCCAGGCACGACCTGCAGAAATTGTGGCCGCATGGGGTAGTGACGGGCTCCTTGAAGGGCTCCAAGCAAATGGAGCACGACAGCTCCTCGGCCAGAGGAAACAGCTCGGCCATCGCGCTCCTGGGGGTACCCGACGGGACGCGTAGGGGCAGCGATAGACAACACCGTGCGCGGTGCGCTCGAGAAGCAGGGAAGGAATCGAAACTGCACAGGAGGGGTGGCGCCCTGGACTTTCAGGAAGTCACGTGGGTGCAGGAAGGGGGGTGGCGGGCGGGAGGCCTGGGAAATGAAGGTGGGGTGACAAGCAGAGTCCTGATGGCCCCTCACGGGCCTGAGAGATCTCAGCACCACCAAGTACAGTTTCAGGGCCACGAGGCAGATGAACTGTGTCACGAGTTGGGGTATTCCTATTCCCCTAGTCGGGGCCTACGTCCTACCTGAGTTCAGCACCACTTTGGAGAAGATTCATCCGTGCCCTGGGTGTCTCAACCGCCCCCTGAGAACAAGAAGGGTCATATTATCGTCATGAAAATCACAGCAAAACAGAACAGAATACTGTAGATGCAGAGCACAGTGGCTCCTGTCTGTAATTCCATCACTTGGAAGGCTGAGGCGGGAGGATTGCCATGAGTTGACACCAACCTAGGCTACACCGTGAGTGACTGTCTCAACATCTAAAATAGGTTGAGAAGATGTCTGGGCTAGAGAACTTGCAGTGTGAGGCTGAGGGGCCTAAATTCAGTTACTGAAACCCTGGTTAAGACTCCACGAAAATGCTGGGCAATGGTGGCACATGCCTTTTAATCCGGAGGCAAAAGCAGGCAGAGCTCTATGAGTTCGAGTCCAGCCTGGTCTACAGAGAAACCCTGTCATGAAGAGTTTAAAAAAAGGGTTCACGAAAAAGTTCACCACCGGCCTCCCCCACCACATACCAAACACATAATAAATAAGGAAAACAATTATATGGCCACACTCCCTTTCCTTTCTGTTCAATTCCCACTTCTTTGCTGGTCTTGGGCTCTGACTTATCACCATATCACCAGACAAGCCCCAAAGGCAGGATCCATAGTCTCTCACACACAGATCTGGCAATTTTGTTCATTGATGGTTCACGACTACTATCACAAAAGTTGGGTGTCACATCCTGTGCATCAGTCAGCTCCAGCTACTGGTCCTCAAGACAATAAAAAGAGACAAATTAAAAAAGGACAGCAGGAAAAGATTTAATCACTGTGGCCACAAAAGGACCCAGCAAACTCCTCAAGTCCACCTTCCAGGTTCTGAAGTGAAATTGAAGTTAAAAGAGAAGGCAAAAACCCACATATCTAATCAGTCCCAGTCCACATCAGGTCTAGCCCAGCACTGGGTTCAGTGTTTGTAAGCTAGCCTCATAAGCAGTTTGAATTTTCTGTGTGAAATCTCTTTCTGGGAGAACAGGCTTCCTTGGGTTTCTCCCAAAAAATGAGATTCTGGAGAAAATCCCATTTCTTTGGGGTCCATTGTTTCAATAATTTGACAGACTGAGAGACACAAGGGTCTCTTTAAATCTCTTCACTTGGGCCAGACTGTTTACAGTATTTCTAAACCGGGTGAGGTGCAACATACCTATAATCCCAGAACTCTCTCTAGGGAGACTGAAGCAGGAGGATCTCAAGTTCAAGGCCCGCCTGGGTTACATAGCAAGACCCCCCTTTTTTACATAATAAGAGGATATAGATTAGTGGTAGTGTCCCTTGCATAGCATGTGTGAGTCTCCAAGTTCAATTTTCAGTACTAAAAAAATATCAATTTTTACTTATTTGGGATTTGGGGAGCCCCAAACCTAACAAATGTTTTCTCTTTTATGTGTGCACACACAGTATTGGAACTTCAAACTTTTTTTTTTCCTCAAAATCATTCATTTAGGCTTACTTTGTTTTTAGCTCTGTGGGTCCCCCCATTACGGGCTGAGAGCAGAACACATGGGTGGACAGGAGTGTTCATTTGGGAATTCCATGATGGCAAATAGAAGTTTTTTGGAGGAATTATGCAAGTTTACCTTAGATAACCAGGTTTGGCAGCCACGAAGACAAGGTAAATATCCCATGGTCTCCGACAGCTGCTGATTATGAAGCCCCTACTGTGTGCCAGACAAATAAAGATTATGGGAAAAATCTTTACAAAGCCCCAGGACTCAGTGAAGGTCAAGGCATTGTCACAACAGAGCTGGGATTCGAACTTGGGACATTCTTAATGCTGGTTCCCCTAATTTATACACTCAGCTTTCTATTTCTCCAGGACCTACCATCCTGTCTACTCTAATTTGTATTCTGGTGGTAGTTGTCTGCATGGAAAAAGAAGACAAAAGGGTGCTGGCTGAGATGCTGAGACAGATTACAATAACCTCTGAAGGTGGTAAAATCATCCCATGTTACAGAAAAACAACAGTCCAGCTAAAACAATGGACACTGGCATGGGGCCTATCTGGGTTCCAGAAGGCAAGTATTTCCTACTACAAAAGGCTGCCTCCCAAGGGAGGTGCAAAGCAGTTTCCAGGAAACAAACATTATAAAATCCACCTCTAACCTAATTATCGTGGGTGGAGGAGTCTGGTGATTCATGGCAGAATGTGGGATTCTCTTTCTAGGCTGAGTGGTTAAAAAGGCTGATTGGACAATGAAGATCGGGAGAGCCCTACTCCATATTTACCAAACTCCAAGAGGGAGAGTCATGAAGACCTACTACACAACAGGCACGCCACGGAGTGAGAACCGGAGGGGTACCAGGCAAAGAGCTCTGCCTTCTTCTTTTTTTAATAACTTCTTTTTTAAATTTTGTTTACCTTGTTTTTATTGAGCTATACATTCCCCCCTCCCCTTTCCTCCTCCCCTCTCCCCTTCCATCCTCCCCCATACACCCTGTGCTCCCAATTCACTCAGGAGAGCTTGTAGCAGTCTGCCTTCTAATACAGGTAGCAGTGAACAGGAGTGTCCCTAGAGGCCAGCTCCTCTTAATGACATGGATTCCTCATCTGTGAAGCTGGGAGACCCAAATATCTCAGAGCCTTTTAGTACAGATGATGTGTAAACACATAGGATGTAGGCGATAACGAGCACCCTGAATCTTTAACCTTTGCAATGGGGCTGATTGATGGGAGGCCAGGGACTGCTCCTGCCAGGCAGGGTGTGTTTGTTTATCACAGTAGCTGGTATCTTCAGTCCGGCAATGTTCCAAGGTCAAATGGGGCCCAGTTGGTCAAGAGCGAACCATATGGCCCCATCCAGGTAATGCCTAGCAACCATGATAGAATCCCTGCTCTGTATCTAGAAGTCGGGAGAAGTCGGTGAAGAGGTCTCAGTCTCCTGCAAATACAACATCGTTATTCCCACTAGTGCAATCCTCATGAAACTTCAGCTGTGGTTTGAACGCATACCTTTGAATCCTCAAACTCTTGTGAAGGACACTGATTCTCACTTAAAGACAGCCAGAGAGGCTGGGGATGTAACTTAGTGCTAGGATGGGTAGCTAACGTGAACAAAGGTTAAGAGAGGAACAACAACAACAAAAAAATGCCAGAGAAGCTTAAATGACATGACAAAGACCTAAGTGATCTAGGCATGTAACAGACTGGACTCTGAACGGTGAGAGGGAGGTCCCAGAATCTTAGGTCTCTTAGCTTAGGTTTCTTTGTTTTTGTTCTTTAAATGTGCTGTCATGTCCATGTCCCCCAGACATTTAAAAGCAAACTCCCAGCCTTCTCAGTTTTTGAAAAAGAAAATGTGTAGTCCAGGCTGGCCTCAAATCCCTCCTGCTTCCACCGAAGTTAATTCTTAACCATAAAATAAGTGGGAAGACTTCTACCAAAGTTCTTGTTTTATTCCCAGACCCTGGTCATGTTTTGATAGAGGAACTCTCATTTGTTAACACTTAGCAGTGGCTATTTAACCTTATGTGGTTAGTGGTCCGAGCTGTACAGATATAATGGAACACTCACTCCTGGCATGAAGTATTATCATTTTATATATCGCTGGACTTAATTTGCTAATTTTTGTCTTTAAAATTTTAAATTGTGAGGCTGGGCAGTGGTGGCACACACCTTTGATCCCAGTACTTGGGAGGCAGAGGCAGGCGGATCTCTGTGACTTGGAGGCCTTGTCTACAGAGTGAGTTCCAGGACAGCCAGGGAACTCTGTCTCCAAAAACAAAACAAACAAATTTTTTTAAATTGTGTGTGTGTGTGTGTGTGGGTGTGTCCTCACAGGAGTATGTGCTTGTTACAGCATGAGCAGGCCACAGCATGCATGCAAAGGTCAGAGGACAACTTGAGGGAGAAGGTTCTTCTCTTTGACAATGTAGATTCCATGGATAGAACTCATGTTGTCAGCTTGGCTGCAATCACCTTTATCTGATGAACCATCTTGTAGGCCCCATATTTTTTCTTTCTTTCTTCTCCTCTTCCTCCTCTTCCTTCTTCCTTCTCTCTCTCTCTCTCTCTCCCCTTGAACATCTGATCCTCCTGTCTCCACCTCCAATGTACTAATTATAGGTATCCAAGTTATGTGGTTTGAGGATGTAATCTAGGGCTCTGTGTGTTTGGGCAAGCACTAGATTGAACCACAGCCAGGATTTGCGACTATGTCTTACAGATGTTGTGGTAGTCAGCATCTCCTCGTGGTGATGAAATACCAGCGATGACACAATAGCCGGAAAGGGTGAACCTTGATTCTGTTCGGGGTTCTACTTTATGATCAATCAGTCCCTTTTCCTTGAACCTGTGGTGTAGAAGCATGTATTGGCAGGAATGTCTGGCAGAGCCTGTCAGGATTGATTAGAGCACCCTCCCTAGGTGACACTAGTTCTTCAAAGGGTCCTCTCAACAGCACCACCTTGTGGACACAAACCTTTAACACATGGGTGCTGAATGCTAAATGTCAAAAGGGATGGTGGTCTATAAACTCATTAAAATATCTATGCCGGGTGGGTGGTGCTATCTGGGACCTGTCACCTTCATAGAGAGGAGTTGAGAATGCCACTTGTTCTGAATTGTGAATTCAATTTACTTTATGCATATGACTGTTCTGCCTTCGTGTATGTGAGCCACATGTATAACCTGTGTCCACGGAGGTCAGAAGAGGGCACTGGATTTCCTGGAACTGGAGTTACAGGTGCTCTTAACAGCTGAGCCATCCACCTCCCCAGCTCTGAGAATTCAGTCTGTCCAGCCACTGTAACAATACTCAGAATTTGGAGCTGGAAACTGGGCCTTTAATCTCAGCACTCTTCAGTTCTCAGGAGGCAGAGACCTGCAGGGTTCAAGAGAGTTTGAGGCCGGCCTGGTCTACAAAGCTAGTTCCAGGACAGCCTCCAAAGCTATACTGAGAAACCTTGTCTTGGGGGGGCGGGCAGCTGGGGGTGGGGTGGATTTGGAGCTGGAGACTTAGCTCAGTGGTTAAGAGTGCTGTTGCTCTTGCAGAGAACCTGGAGTTCAATTCTCAGCACCCACATGGCAGCTCACAGCTGTTTTGTTACTCCAGTCCCAAGAGATACGGTGCCCAATTCTGGACTCTGGGTACAACACATGTACATGCTGCATAGATATACATGCAAACAAAATGTCCATACATGTTAAAAAAAAAATCAGGGGCTGGAGATATGGCTCAGAGGTTAAGAGCACTGGCTGCTCTTTCAGAGAACCTGGGTTCAATTCCCAGCACCCACATGGCAGCTCACAACTGTCTGTAATTCCAGTACCAGGGGACCCTCATGCAGACATGAACGTAGCCAAAAACATCAATGCACATGAAATAAAAATAAATTATAAAAAAAATCAGATTTTTAATTTGTCCCTTTTATTGTGTTTTTCAAGGGATTTGTTAATTTCCTTTATATTAATACAAATATTGGCACGGGGCTGCAATCTTGTCATGCTGTTATTTTTTTTTAACCGAGAAATAATTCATTTATCATAAAAATGATTCTTTCTGTATGCGTGAATATGTGTGTGCATGAGTGCATAAAAAGGCCAGAGGTCTCCAGGCTGTCATTCCTCTCCACTTTATTTTGATGTTTATTTTCAGCCAGGCATGATGGCTCACAACTTTAATCCCAGTGTTTAGGAGGCAGAGGTGAGCAGATCTCTGTGAATTTAAGGCCAGTTTGATCTACAATGCAAGAGTTTCAGACCAGTTGGGGCTATATAGCTAGACCTTGTATCAAAAATGTTTTTTTTTTTTTTTTTAAAGATTTATTTTAAGTTGTGTGTATATTTGTGTGGGGGCAAATATTCATGAGGGGTGCTCAAGGCATCACACAGGTACTAGGGATTAACTCAGATCCTCTGTGAAAGCAGTATGTGTTCTTACGCACTGAGTCATTTTCCCAGCCCTTTATAAAGAAACACACAGATACTTCACAAGGGAACCAGTCCACATGAGGCTGTAAATGTACACATAAAGCAAAAGGTTCATAAAACAAATTTTAATTCATTGGACATGATATACTTATTTTTATAAACTCTTATATTTTTTCAGAGGGCAGCTTATGAACCCTAAAGTGATTTTATCATCTTTCTGTGAACTCTATTTACCAGTATAGACAGAAGGGCAATTCATACTCTGATTACATCTGAAAACACACCCTGAAGACAACACTCCTGAGCCCAGTCAATACTGACCACTTATCTCAATCTGTTTTCCAGACAGAGCCAGCCCCGCTGTCAAAGTCCCTCCACTTAGGGCTGAGTTGACCTCTTAAAGTAAAACATAACTACAAATCAGCACACACACATACTTTAATATACTTTCCTATTAAATAGACTAATTAAACAGCATCTGTCATTTTTTTTTTCCAGACAAGGTGTCTCTGTAGTTTTGGAGCCTGTCCTGGAACTCATTCTGTAGACCAGGCTAGTCTTGAACTCACAGAGATCCTCCTGCCTCTGCCTCCCAAGTGCTGGGATCAAAAGCGTGCACCACCACCTCCCAGCTTAAACTGCCTGTCTTTGGCCTCCCAGGTGCAAAGCAAGCCGCCTTGTTATGAAAATGATCATAAACCAAGATGACTATTTGCTGGACTCAAACATGATAACTCAGCATGGGAATTGAGTTCAATATGATTTTATTTAAAAATTTGCAAAGCTGAAAGAGGGATCTACATTTTTTTTTTTTGTTAAAAGAAAGCAATTTTCACAGTTTATATTCAGTCTTTAGCTTTTGCTGAATAATAACAGAAAAGGAAGTTTCTGTTCAAGATCCTCACTTCCGCGTGCTAAACCAGGCTCTTGGTATCCCGTGGCAAGGTCACTTGCCCCCTGATCTGAGGTTCATGGCCAGCTGTCCTCAGGCAATACAACAAAGTTGTCTTCCCATTGTCCTCTACACAGGGCCCTGAGAATCCTATATTTTACAGCTGGAAAAAAATGTGGAAGGATTCCTTAACTCATCACCTGCAACAAATCCAACTGCACTAAGTCTTGAGAATGACAAGTATAAAATGCTCTGGATTCGTGAGATGCTCCAGGCTTATCAGAACAACTCACATGTTAAAAAATTAAGTCAAGAAACATGCCTTAGTATTTTAAATATGACTGAAAAAACAAACAAGATGCACAGCACGATCTTGCACGTGGCACTGTAACCGCCTACTGCCGATTGCTACTGGTGCTCCCAGAGGAGAGAGAGAGCAAACACACTGCATACTATACCGGTCATGTTTTCTATTGGGTTATTGAACTTAGCCTGAAGGAAATAAAGATCCACAAATTAACACCCATGTTACTCTAAACGATGAGGTAGATTTTTTTTTCTAGTATGGTAAAGTGAAAGTATCAGAAAGTCCAAATAACATTCAATCTTCTTTTTAAAACTTTAGGCTATGGTCACGGTCACAGACAACACTTAGGGACTGCGAGGCGATAAGGTCAGAGGTTATGTGCAGACATGCTCTTTACTTGGAATGCTACTTGAGGAGTCAATAATCAGTCTTGGATCAATCAACTCTTTCCAGAGCACAGTGATCTGAGAAAAAACACAAAACATCCAATTTCATCAATTCATTCTGACATCACATAAATGTTAAGCTAAAAATTGGAGGTTTGTTAGTAAATTTCTCTGCAGAATGGCTGAATAGTAAGAATAACTTCAATACAGCAAACTGACTTTAATTATTCAGAATGCAGCTAAGTTTTACATTAAGCATATTTCATTCAGCCTTTGGTTTAGAGTAGGGACTGGGTGATGAGAAGGAGGCTATGAGGTATCAGAAGGATTTGTCTTATAGACAGGCAGCTCTGGGAGCTAGGTGGGGTCTAAAAGCCAGTACTAGGTGGCTGCTCTTCTTTCTGAAGTTCTTACCCTAATCTGCCTTAGATACGAACTATCACACAATTTACCAATAGAGATGCCTCAAGCACTTGGCCAGGGTGAGTGGTGAGAGCCATCTAGTGTCAAAAAAGGGACACTACAGGTTTTCTGCTTGCAGTTTTTCCAGGAACATATTTTAACAACAAAAAACCCCATACAATTTAAATATTGCAAACATAGACCTATAGGAGATGACACTGTCACAAACCCTTAAGAATATGTTTCAAGGAAAAAATCCCAAGAGGCTCTTCTACCTTAGAAGACATGGGCAGCACACAGTCTGGTTGGGTCTCTGTAAGCTCAGAGTTCAGATAAAACAAGAACTTTCAACACTGAAATGTAATAGCAAAATAAGCAAAACGTCTCAAATATGAGCCCAAAGAGGAAGCATTGTCTTAACTATAATCAGGCCAAGAAGCTACTGCCAGCAACTGACTGCTGGCTCTGAACAGGGGAACACACAGGCCATGTGCTCTCAAATAAGTAAGTTAGAGCTGGCAAGATGGCTCACAGGTAAGAGCACCTGCTGTCAAGTCCGGCAGCCTGAGTTCAGTCCCCAGGACTCCCATGGTGGAAGGAGAGAACAGACAACTGAAAGTTGGCTTCTGAGCTCCACACGCATGTGGCGGCACACATACACATGTACACACACACACTAAGTAAATGAACTTAAACATTAAAATAAAATATCAGACTATTCAGGTCAGGACTGGGGAACCTGAGGGACAGCAGCAATGGCTCTCAGGGTATTTGGTAATATAAAGTCTGACACATGCCCCTCTCCTATGGGAATCTCCACAACTAGAATTTTCATCTACACTATGCTTTTACATAAGGACACGGGCTCTAGGAGGTCCCTGGCAGCTCTCTGCAGAGACCTGATCCTCCCAGGTTTTAACACAAGCAGTTCCAGGAAGCTGCAATGTCACCTGTGGTGCACACCCCCTCCCCCAATCAGTCAAAAGTTTTAAGACCAGCACACCTACCCTCCTCTCTTGTGTCACAGCGTACTCCACCACCTCGGTTCCGTTTTCATTGTGATAAACCAAATCAAACTTCCCAGGTTCTTTTAAAGCTGAAACCAGAAGGTAGGAAAACAGTAAACCATTTCTCCATGGTTACTCTCATGGGGATTTCAAACCACAGGCACTGGTGTGAAGGCTGGGGTCAAATAGGAAAGTATGGCATACCTCTATGGAAGGCACGGCCCTGTGCCAGCAATAGGATTTTCTTATCATTTATCGGAGATGAGCTTCCCATCATCAGAATAGCCTGCCTCTGCCTCCCGAGTGCTGGGATTAAAGGCATGCACCAGCACCCAGCTTCCTTTTGATCTTTTATAGCTGATTTGTGCAAACATCTGAATGGCAGCTTTTCTTTAACCTCCCTGAGTCAGTTTAGGTTTCCTTGACATAACTGTTTTTGCAGTCCATGTGCACTAGTACTTACAATCTCCTGCCAGAGTATATAATGACAATGATAAGAACCAGCCCAATGTCTCCATCCAAGGAGAAAGTGCACAGGTCACCAGGGCTACAGTGTGCTGACAGGTAGCAGAGGGCAGAGAATGGCACTTAATCCTGGGGTCGGGCTAGTGAAGGCCAAGAAGAGCACAGCTCTAGCTGTGAGACTGCTCAGAACGCAGTGGTTTGGGCTCCTCGGCCCCACATCCGTTTCTAAGGACTCACCTGGTAAGGATGACAGGACTTCTATATCCACTTGCTGGGTCTCTGGGTCATGGCTTAAAATTTTTCCTTCCTTCCAAAAATAAAAGAGCAAGTCAAAGCATTGTACTAAAGGACAGTAAGAAGATTGTAAAATGGCGACTTTTATGTATTATAAATTTATCTCAACATATCAACAGAGAGGGAACTAAAAACAAGCAATGGAGTGATGAGCACTCTACCTGAATATGCACAGATATTGTTAGAGGTAAAATATTAGTCATGACTGACAGATACCTACAGCACTTGGCAAAAGGGAAAAATTATAGTAGATCCCCAAAATTGATGGGTGAGGGGATGAAAGCATTCAAGAGAGGACTATCATCACAGCTTTCATTGAGAGGTACACATAAACAGAAGTGCTTTGGTTCCTAGCATTGCTGGGGCTACTCTAAAGCATGTGCACAACTCTAGAGCAGGAACAGGAAGCCACTTTGTCATTTAAAGGGTCTCAAGCTGCTTCCTCCCAGATCTCAGGTTTAAGCTGGCTCCCAGATGCATGGAGATGTATTGAAGCTGGGTGTGATGGTGCGTGCCCTGAATCCAAGCACTCCAGAGGCAGATGATCCAAGGGTTATGAGTTTGAGGCTAGCTAAGACACTGCCCCTCAAAAATTTAAAAGGCGTTGGGGGGGGCAGCTGGAGAGATAACTCAGTGGTTAAGAGTACTGTTTGCTCTTCCAGAGGACTTGGGTTCAATTCCCAGCACCCATATGGTAATTCACAACGGTCTGTTAACTCCAGCTTCAAGGGCTTCAACAGCCTCACACAACATACATGCAGGCAAAACACTGGTTGGAACCCCTACTCACCCCTGCACAAGCCAGGAGACCTGGTCTGCCCTACTTCCCCAGCACCCCACCCTACCCCACCCCCAGGCACTGAGAATATTCTGAACAAAGGGATGTCACCAAAAGTCCAATGACCCATTTCTGGCAGCTCATGCAACCCAACTTTCTGACGTGACCAGCCCATCCAAATGTCTGCCCAGAGGCTTAGCTTCTGATCCTACTTGGACACAATCCCAGCACCTGGCTGGCGCTTCATCAACCCTCACCTATAGAGCACCCCCCACGACTTCTCTCTAGTTAGCTCAGGCACATGACTTCTCTGGCCCTGTTCGCTGGGATCCACGAACCCACCTGAAAACAACACCCAATAAGCCATGCATTTATCTGCTCTTAATCTGGCCTGATCTGGGCTTTTGCAATGGCAGAAACATATCAAACACCAAAACACATAAAATAAGAATAAATAAATCATTAAAAAAAAAAAAAAAAACTTAAACCAGGCATAGTGGTATAACCTTTAATCCTAGCACTTGGAAGGCAGAGGCAGGGGGAATCTCTGAGTTTAAAGCCAGCCTTGATTATGTAGTGAGTTCCAAGACAGGTGGTGCTACACAAAGAAACCTTGTCTCCAAAAACAAACAAAAACTTAAAAAGAGGACCCACTGCTCTGACCAAATGGTGGCAATGGTGAGACAAATGGGCAGCTGCGGAGCCACACACCGAGGCCAACGATGAGCACCATTTGTAAGGAGTACGGTTTTTCCGCCTGCTAGCCCCGAATAACACACAGAGACTCTGTATCTGATGTAATTCTGTTGGCCAGGTACTAGTTTCTTATGGGCTAGCTCTGTCTTAAGTATTAACCTATTTCTGCTGATCTATGTATTTTCACATGGTCTTCTCTTACCGGAGAGTGGGGCAGGCGTCTGGTCTCCCCAGTCTCTCCATCTTTGGCCCTGCTTACCACTTCCTCCTTCCTCCTTATCTTCTAGTCCCGCCTATCTTCCTTTCCTATTGGCCAACAGTGCTTTATTCATTAACCAGTATGAGCAACATATATACATAATGGCATCTCCCATCACTTTTTTTTTTTTTTTTTTTTTTTTTTTTTTTTTTGCTGTTGTTATAAGACAAAGTTTCTTTGTGTAAAAACCCTGGCTGATCTGGAACTTGATTTGTAGACCAGGCTGGGATCCGCCTGCATCTGCCTTCCGAGTGTTGGAATTATAAAGGCGTGAGCTGCCATTGCCCAGGTAACTGCTCATTGCTGAGCAGTCCCTCCAGTGCCACCACTCAGTACACACCCTTTCTCTCTGGGCACAGACAAGAGGTGTGTTTTTATTTATTTACTTGTCTTTGTATAGCCATTTATTTATTTTTGAAATAGGCCCAGGGTTTGAACCTCAGGAGCTCATCATTATCATCCTGTTCTTCACAAGGGTCAGCAACAGAAGACCAGGAGACATCACAGTGACACTTGTAAAATGTCCATAGGACTCTCATCCTCCTTTATGGCATTACTTACCAAAAATGTCTATTATTATCCATGCGAGTGCTATTCAAATTTATCAGTACTTCATTTTTTAAAGTATTTTTTATGTATGAATGCTCTATCTGCATGTATCCCTGCATGCCAGGAGACAGCATCAGATCCCATTACAGATGGTTGTGAGCACCATGTGGTCGCTGGGAACTGAACTCAGGACCTCTGGAAGAGCAGCCAGTGCTCTTAACCACTGAGCCATCTCTCCAGCCCCATACTTCATCTGTTTAAAAATATTTGGAAACAGGATCTCCCTATGTCAGCCCAGTTTGCTTCAGATTCAAAATTCTGCCGCCTCAGCTTCCTGAGTGCCAGGGTTAAAGGCAAGTGCCACTACACTGAACAAGTTTCTGACGGTGACAATTTAATCTTTCATTTTTTCTTTTTAATGAACTAAATGTGAACTCCCAGGCTCAGAGGATATCCTGCCTCAGCCTCCTGAGTAAGATAAACAACAGGTACACCCCACCACACAGCTAACTTCATTATATTCATAGAAAGTCTTACCTTGTAATCAGAGACATCAGGAGAGTAGTCCGACGTGAGTTCCAAAAGCTAAAAAAGAAGAGAAATCCTACGAGTCCACGAACCCCCCTCCCCCCAGACCCTCACTCTCTTGTTCCCTCCTAGCCCAGGAACAGTAGCCACCCAGAGGAGCACACCACCACCCACCATGACTTCTGACAACGGCAGACAGTTTTTGTAGATATTACTTAGTCAGATTCACTAAGTTCTGTATGTTTGTGGGAGGATGGGAATCTTGCCTTTGTTATAGTTGGTGCTGTTTCAACATTTACCTTAAATGCAATCTTTTCGCCAACTTGAGGGGCAGCTGCCAACAGTGGCAATAGACTATAGTCCTTCTTGTGTGTCTCTACAGGATTCTGGAAAACAGTCACGTGACTCGGTTAACTGGTGAGAAAAGAAGAACCCATGCCATGCCAGAGAGCTGAGATACAATCCATGGGGAAAGGGAGAAGGCCAATTCACAAACAATGAATAGTTACCTGGATCACAGTGGATGAGTTCGTTAGGATGTCATTTAACTGTTTCTGCTTCTGACTCTCAGAACTTCTATTTAAGATACAGGAGATAGCATGCCCTCGGCCTCGACCTCGGCCCCGTACACCCCGGCCCCTCAGACCCTTCCCCAAAAACAAGTCTTCTCCTCGACCCCATCCTCTTCCCAAACTGTTGGGGACAGGCACACTGGGAGGAGGACCAGAAGCTTGCCTGCCTCTACTTGAGTCAGAGGGTTTCCAGTCCATAACACCTGGAGTCTGCAACGTCAGCCCTGGACACCCTTGCTCTGCAAAGAGGCCAGCTGTCTTTAAGAAGTCTGAGGCACCCTCAGAGATGTTCTTGGAGACCACGAACTGGGCTTCCGACTCTGAACTGGAGTCTGAACTGGATGAAGAGGTTCTGCTGCCCTTGCCCTTGCCGAAGCTGAAGGGAAAGGCAGGCTTTGAGGCTTGTCTGTGGGCAGCTGGACTTTTTGCAGCAGGACCATCCTTCAACAGCTCAGCTGAGAGCTTCTCTGAAAAGGTGACCCCTTGCCCTGTGACATCGCAGTGGACATCGCTGACGGACTCTAGACAAGAATCAGACTCTGACAGGTAGCCTGGGCCCCCTTTTGGCCCTGTGCTGCTTTTCCTCCGGGCTTTAGTGAGGCTGCTTCTGGGGGAGTTTTTGGGGGAGTTCTTGGGGGAGCCCTTGGGCGAGCCCTTGGGGGAACCGCAGTTCTGTGGGCTCCACTCCTTGGGCGCCTGCATTTTGGGAGACTTGTGGGCCTTGGTGTGCTTCTTATGTTCACATTTCTCCTTTCTCTTTAGAGGCTTCTTTCTGGCCTCTTCTTCCTCCTCTGCTGGGCTGCCTGTCACTTTGCTTTTTCTCTTGCCTTTCGTCCTCCCCTCCTCATCCGGAACAGGGTTTGTTTCCAGGTCCAAGGCCTTCTCTTTATAGCTGCTGTCCTCCAGCTTCTTCCAGTGCTTCTTGGAGCACTTGGAGCCCAGGTCCATTTCTTCATCCTCCACCAACTTAAAAGCCCGCTTCTTTGCTTTTCTGGGTAGAAAATTAGAGTTGCCACCATTGCTTACTATGAAATTCTCAAGGAGTTCGCCATCTTCTAACTTAACCCTGTCAAGAGAAGACAGCAAGCAGTTACATGTGGCCAAGACTGCAGACTGTTATGTAGCTTAAGGATGAAGGACGACACAAAATGACCACGACTCTTTCATTGGCTAGTTTTGTTTTATCTTTGTTGTTTTGAGATCATCACCTTCGATGGCCTGGAACTTGCTATGGCGAACAGGCTGGTCTCCAACTCACAGAGCTCAACTGCCTCTTCTTCCTGAGTGCTGGGATTAAAGATGGAATCATAATGCCTGGCTCACTGTGGCTAGTTTTAGTAGCAATAGCTACTGTGACCCACACATTTTTTTCTAAATTAAACATCACCAACAAATTAGGTAATCTTTCATTTCGGAGGTCCTAAAACTCAAACAGGTACCTGCCCAAGATTCACAGCTGGTAAGCAGTAGTAGGATATCCCAACCTTGGTTTGCCTATCTTCAAAACTCAATCTTTTTTTTTTTTTTTTAACAAGATAGTATTTATTTATTGACAATTTCATATACACATACAATTTATTTCAATCACATTCACACATAAACACTAACTTCCAACTTTTCTCAGACACCTCCAGCTTCATGCCCCCTTTGTCTTAATTCACAATCTTTCTACTACGTGTGTGTTAGCCATTCTAAGTTTTGCTTTAGGATGAGTAAAAACAAACTGAACATGAGTGTCTACTAACAGTTAAGTAAATAAGGAAATCAACTACAGAAAGACAAATGCCACACATGTTCATTTATATGAAGACTTTAAAATAAAAGCTCTCAAAGAAGTAAAAAGTAGAATAGGAACCTAAGGAAGTTGTAGGGGAAATTGAAACAAACATGTATACTGATAGAAAGACTAAATTCTAATGTTCCTGCATAATATAGGACTACAGTGGTGGATAACAATTAACTATCACCAAAGAACTACAAGAGAGAATTTTCTCTTTTTCACTTTCTTTCTTTCTTTCTTTCTTTCTTTCTTTCTTCCTTTCTTTCTTTCTTTCTTTCTTTTTTGACAACACTGGTAGCTTTGGGTAGCTTTACCTCGATATGCAGACCAGGTTGACCTTGGACTCAAGAGATTTACCTCTCTCTGCTACCTGAGTGCTATACCTTACAAATATATAAAGTAACTTTATGGTAATAAACATTTAAAATAATAAAAAAGTCTTTTCCTATTTTTACTTAGATTCTGAATAGTTACAGCTATCCATGTGATCCATGGCAGTTTGTAATGGTTAATTTTATATCCACCTGGCAAGGCTATGGGGTGCTCACCTCAGACACTGTGTCTATGGCTTGTCTGAATTTCTGGATGAGATTCCCACTGAAATCTCAAGACTGAATAAAGGGCTGCTTGTTTCAAGACCCCTCTCTGCTCTCTCTGCTGCAGGTACCTATGACTCTCTCTCTCTCTTTCTCCTTTCTTTCTTTCTTTCTTTCTTTCTTTCTTCCGTTCGTTATTGTTTTCAAGACAGGATTTCTTTGTGTAGCCCTGGCTGTCCTGGAACTCATTCTGTAGACCAGGCTGGCCTCCAGCTAAGAGATTGGCTTGTTTCTGTCTCCCAAGTGCTGGGATGAAAAGGCATGCACGGGATGAAAAGGCATGCGCCACCATCATCTGGTGACTCTACTTCTCTCTCATTTCTAAAGAGGTATTTGAGTGTGTGTGTGTGTGTGTGTGTGCACGTGCGCGCACACACACACATGCATGCGCACTGGAGCACTCCAGGACCAGAAGAGACTGTTGGATCTCTACAGATGGACATACAGGTGGCTGTGAGTCACTGTGCATGGCCACTGGGAACCAAACTCAAGTCTACAGAGCAGCCAGAGCTCTGAGGGGCTGAGCCGTCTCCCCAGTCCCTCTTCTTCTCAGTCTATTTCACTTGCCGTTCGTCACTGTCCTAACTGGTCACTCTTTGTAATGGTGAGCTGGTGGACTTAGCTCTGACTCAATAAACTGCTAGTACGCTCATTCGGTAGTATATCTTCTAAAACTACAGTGACACAGAGAAAATTCACATGGCCCCTGCACAAGGATAACACACACATTTGTGAAGCATTCCATACTTTTATATCACCCCCTCCAAGACTCAGGACACATCAAAGAGGGGAGAAATAACACAAAGCCAAGGGTAGATGTGCAGCATTGTACTCACAAACTCGTCGTAGGAAGTGGTATGTCAAAAGTTATACTGGACTGACCCTCTCAACATTTCATCCAAGGGAGTCAATGAGACCCCACCCCTCCCCAAGGAAGGGTCTATTAGAAACAAACAGGACTAAGTAAAATAAATCCTCTCCCCAATGCCTCAGTCAATAGAGTGCCTGCTGTACAAGCACGATAACCTAGATGTGTGTATCTGTGATCAGTCATAGCACTGGGAAAACACAGGTGGACAGAGGCAGGCAGATCCCTGTAGCTCACTGGCCAGGCAAGCCTAGCCTGGCTCCAGGATCAGTGAGAGACCTTGTCTCAGAAAAACAGAGTAAATCGTAATTGAGTAAGGCACTAGGCATCAACCTCTGCATAAATTTACACAAATGCATGCACACACACAAAAAAGACACAGACATATATATACACACAATGAATCTGTCAGGGAAGACAATTATAAGGAGTAAGACACAAACAAACAATAAAACCCCTAACCTTCACATTTAGTTGCTTTTCATTAAATTAAAAAATTTTGAGATTTTATTTATTACTTTTTTGTTTGAGTGTTTTGACCGCATGTATGTTTGTGCACCATGTGTGTGTGCAGTATCCATGGTGGCCAGAAGAGGGTTGTCAGATCCTCCTGGGACTGTAGTGAGTCAGAGATGGTTTAGCAGTTAAGAGCACTGCCTGATCTTCCTGAGGTCCTGAGTTCAAATCCCAGCAACCACATGGTGGCTCACAACAATCTGATGCCCCCCCCCTTTTTTTTTGAGACAGGGTTTCCTCTGTGTAGCTTTGGAGCCTGTCCTGCAACTAGCTCTTGAAGAACAGGCTAGTCTCGAACCCACAGAGATCCACCTGCCTCTGCCTCCTAAATGCTGGGATTAAAGGTGTGAGCCACTACCGCCCAGCCTGTTGCCTTCTTCCGGCATTCCACGCTTTAAGAAATCCTTTCTTCCTGCTTTGGACTCCTGCACCAAGTGCAAGCCCAGAGGAGGAGGGTTTGTGGCGCATCTGTGCCAGGCGCACAGCACACAGAGAGCCTGGGGGAGTGACCACTGGCCCTGCCCTTGAGCTTCGGGGCTGCTGCAAGTCTGGTAGCCCTGCCTGGAAGGAGAAGCGTCCCAGGGAAGGATGCTCCCTCCACTCAGTGGTCCGGGCTGGACCACTCGGGATCTCTGGCGTGTGCCTTGCAGCAGTTAGCTCGGCCCCCGAGGCCGCGGTCGCGCGGTGCAGCAAGCGCGCCCCCGCCCGCACAGCCCCCCCCGCCGCCCCCGCGCCGCGCGCTCCCGCACACCTCAGGCAGTCGTTGTCTCTCACCAGGCGCGCGCTCTCGGCGGGGGGCAGGAGGCCCCCTTCCAGGTAGAGGCCCAGGAGCGCCCCGGAACTGAAGCCGAAGCGCTGGCGGATGAGACTGATGAGATCCGTGACAACTCGGCATCTGTTCAGGTCCACCAGGAGCCAGAAGACCGTGCAGTGCGGCGTGGCCGGCGGCGGGTAGTCAAATTGAAGCCGTAGCCTAACCGTCTCGGAGGCTGCCATCTTGTTCATGCTCAACGGAAGCCGAGAGGTTCCAGAGGCTAAGGAGAGGAGAGCTCGGGCGGCGGGCCGCTCCCCCCGGCCGTTAGCGCGCGCCGCCTAGAGGCGCAAGTGTGTACTGCAGGCTCCCATCATGAGCTCTAGCTACTCTATTCTTACTGAGGTCTGAATATATATATGCAAGCATCAGCCACGATGTATGGGAAAACAAAAATAGGGCCTGTAAAAATAGTAAGCAGCTTGACCCCAAAAACTCTGTAATAGGGTTTTTACCTTCATACCAATAAGGTCACAAAAACACAAAATCCACAGAGGGGTTCTAACGTTCTCCTGAGAATGTCTAAAACATACAAAAGCACACATCCTTGAAGCCTCAGAGGCTCTGTGTGGCGGTGACCAAGTCAAGCGTGCTTTCCTTATCTTAAGACAGAAAAATCGAAAGTGTTAAGGCACGGTTGGAGAATCAGAAAGTTAAGTAAATATGAAGCTTTGTAAAATAATTAAATCAAGGCTTGTCCTCTAAAAACAACAACAAAAACCAAACAGTAACCTTGAGGTGGGAATATAGCACGGTTGAGAGAGTGATTTCCTAACGTGTATGTGGCCTGGGCTTCAGACCCACCACAAAGGTTTAAGTTAGGACCTCTTATTATTATTTGGAAAATTTAAAAAAATTTAATGTTCAAAAAAATTTAATGTTCAGAGAAGTTAAGCAACTTCCCTCAACGGCATTAGACCCGTGAATGGTTCGGACTTGGCAGTCAGGAGGCACACTGAAAAAAAAAAGTTTTCTCTGATTCTAATCACACAATACTTAAGCAGAGAAAGTGAAATGGACACAAGGGGGCTCCCTCCTGGACCTCAGATTAGGCACAAACCACACACAACACCCGTTTTCACAATGAGATCCTTTATTAAACGGGAAAGAAAAGTTAAAAGATCTGCTCTCTGAGTCAGGCAGAAAAACAGCAGCAAATGACCTTTGCTTTTAAGAGAAGAAAAAAAAAATTAGAGGTCTGTGTTTAAATGGGCTAGGATGAGGTGATAGAGGAAGATGATGGGGAAGGGGCCAAGAAAAAACACCCTGACTCTGACTTGACCCCAAGGCCAGGACCAAGGACTTAAAATGTCACCAATCATTGTGCGTGCTCCAGAGTCAGGTCACCAATCGCAAGCCACCCTGGAAAGCTATGTCATTCCCCCATCCAAGAGACCCTACATAAGCTCTGTATTCTGTTCAGTTTGTGAGTGCTTCTTATTCTAAAGGCAGCCACCCTCCTGGATTTTTCCTTCCCAATAAATAAATCTCTTGAGTGAGGTTTGTTATTAGGTTGTTGGGTGGGACACTTTTGCCAGAGCAGAGCAGAACTGTAAGGCTTTTGCTGGGGGGAGACAGACTTGTTACACTCCCGCTGGGGAAACCTTTCCCTGGAGCAAGCAGAGCTGTGAGATGCGACAATTACAGTGACTTTGTGTATCCCTTGGCTCCCGACTGTATCTGATGGATGCCTTCCCATCAGAACTGCAACGCTGCTAACATTTGGTGTCCCGGTTGGATAGGCTCTTCTGGCGCCTACGTTCCCCCTCGTCATCTGAGATGTACTGGGATCCTATCCCTCATCTCCAGTCCATCCACAACAAATTCACCTTCCAGCTCGGCAATCGCTCACCAGTGGCGATTGGGTAGGTTTCTCCTTTGGTCAGTGTAAACATGTCCCCGAGGAAGTGACTGTTAACCCTGGCACCCTCTGGTACTCTTGGAGGCTGAGGTACCCTATCCATGTTCTTTAAGGTTACAGCTGGCCCTCTTCACCTGACCCCATCTCACCACCCTCCGAGCTGCAATCCTGTAGTTTTCTTAGGCCCAACTGGGCTACTGTGCCCCTTCCTGCCCTCTTCTCCAGTCTTCCCCCTGGATTTGCCCATAATCCTACATCTCCTCCAGGCTCTTGTGGCTTTCGTGACCCCATTTCCCCCACCCTTTCTTGTGGATGAGACCGCCCCTCTCAGAGCTTGACTTTCATCCTCACCTTCTGGCCTCTATGAAAACCCTGGTGGCAGGGGCAGAGTCTCACCTCGTGTTGAAAACAAAGGCCTGGGGGCTGGGGAGATGGCTTCAAGGTTGAGAATGTTTACTGCCAAGCTTGGCAGCCTCAGGCGGGTCCCTGGGACTCACATGGTAGGAGAGGGATTAGCTCCTGCAAGCTGTCCTCTGACTTCCACAAGTGTCATGGTATGCACATCCTCACACACACACAATAAACAAATTCAATTAAAATTATTTTTTCTTCCTAATTTTGTTATATTTTCTGAGACAGGGGTTTTTCTATGTAGCCCTGGTTGTCCCGGAACTCACTCTGTAGACCAGGCTGGCCTCGAACTCACAGAGAAATGCCTGCCTTTGCCATTCTTTATGAAATTGTTTCACTATGTAGCCCTGGATGGCCTTGAACTCACTAAGATCCATTTGCCTCTGCCTTCCTAGTGCTGGGATTAAAAGCATACACTGTCGTTCCTAGACACACTTATATGTTATGTGTATTCGTGTGTGTGTGTGTGTGTGTGTGTGTGTGTGTGTGTGTGTGTGTAAGAGAAAGAAAGACAGGTGTCACATATATGCCTGGCGCCTGCCTGGAACACTAGAAGAGGGCATCAGGTCCCCTTGGAACTGGAGTTAAAAATACAAAATGATTGTAAGCCACTGTGTGGGTGCTAGAAACCAAACCTGGATCTAGCCAGACCAGTAAAAGCTCTTAACTGCCAAGCCATCTCTCTAGCACATTCTCCCAGCACAAGCCCCCACCACCACCACCAAAAAAAAAAAAACAAACAAACAAACAAAAAAAAACCCAAACTTTTTTTTTTTTTTGAGACATGGTGTTGTGTAGCCTGAACTGGCTTTGGACCTGTTATATTGCTTAGATGAGCCTGAATTCCTGATCCTCCTGCCTCCATTTGCCTCTATCTCTTTTTTCAAACGACTTGGCACATACCTGTCATGCTGTACTTGGCAACCTCTGTCTAAACTATATCAGTGCGTGTGCTCTGTCTATCCTACCTCGAGTCACAGGTGTTAAGCTACGTGCACAGACTCCTGTGCAATGATTTTTTTTTTTTTTTTGGCAACACCATTTGCTTATTTTGCAATGCTAGTGACTGAACACAGAGCCTTGCATGTACTGCGCAAGCACTCTACCACTGAGAAATGTCCCCCATGGGGCCTGGCAGCTTTTTTTTTTTTTTTTTTTTTTTTTTTTTTTTGACACAGGGTTTCCCTGTGGGTTTGGAGCCTGTTCTGGAACTCACTCTGTACACCAGGCTCAGCCTGGCAACTTTACAATAAGTAGCTAAAGACAAAATAAGTGCTCATTCACCAGGACTGAACATAGTGGATGGGTGTGCATCACTACACTGCTGGCTGGTGGCAGAAGTGTCTTGCTCTGGGTTTCATTCTGGCTACTATGTGCAAATGGGCTGCAGTGAAGTCATTCGCCTCTGGGGCCTGGTTTACGCTCTTCTGAGTTTGGAAATGCAACAACTAAACTGCATTTGGGTGTACCTACATCTAAAGGTAAATTTACTATTCTTGTTATCATGCCTACAGCAATTTAAATTTAGATGCTGAAGTTGAAACCAGGACTCCAAACCACCTCTGCCTCTAGCAGTCCATCATCACACATCTTTTGTTGTTTTGTTTTTTTGAGAAAGGGTTTCTCTGTAGCTTTGGAGCCTGTCCTGGAACTAGCTCTGTAGACCAGACTGGCCTTGAACTCACAGAGATCTGCCTGCCTCTGCCTCCCGAGTGCTGGGACTAAAGGTGTGCGCCACCAACGCCCAGCTAATTATCACACATCTTTTGGGTTACCTGTGACATAGGCATGACAGCTTGAAGTGCCACTTGGAGTAAAGCAACCAATAAAAAGCATGTCATTTGGAAAGGTTCATTAAGCTAGCCATCTGGAAAACTGCAGGGGAAGAATAGAGCCCCAGATACCCTAGTCTCTGTGGGTTTCCTTGCAAACAACGGTCTCTAGAATATTTCATCTCTGATATTTTCCTGTTGTGACCTTTGGCAATTATATTTACAATTTGCCTCTGCCTTGACTGGAGGCTTGTTTTTTTGGTTTTTTTTTTTTTATATGTAAGATGTTGATCACATGTTACCAAGAGAGAAAAAAATTACATTTTTTACTGTGTTTAAGAAGATACAACCAAAGTGTATGGGCAAATGGTTGCATATAACCTATTTTTTTTTTGGTGTGGATTTCTAATATATTCATGATACATGTAATTTTAAAATGATTTTTAGATTCATTTTATTATATATATATATATATACATATATATATATATATATATGAGTGTTTCACCTGCATGCTTGTATGTGCATCAGATGTGTGACTGAGGAAGAAGATGCCAGATCCCTTGCAATATGAAATATGGAGTTATGGATGTTTATGAGCCACCATGTGGGTACTGGGAGCCGAACTCAGGTCTTCCGGAAGAACAGTGAATGTTCTTTACCTCCGAGCCATCACTCCAGAATGATGGTTTTAGAAACATATTTCTACAAATGGAATCTAGTTTTAAATGACCTGCTGGTTCATGCTCTGACTTAACCTGACTGGACACAAATGCAGTGTTAATGCTAGGAGAGATGGCTCAATAGTTAAGAGCACCTGTTGCTTTTCCAGAAGATCCAAGTTCAGTTCCCAGCATCTACACCGAGTCACTCATAGCCGCCTGGAATTCCAACTCCACACCTTCTTTTGCATAACCCCACACAGGTGGCATATGTGCACACACACACACACACACACACACACACACACACACACACACACACACACACACTAATAAAAACAAGTCTTACAAGATAAAATACTTGGCCTTTTGTTGGAAAAGACAAACACGGGCAGGTTAGGGAGGATGGTGGTTATCCAGCTGTAGTTTCTCAATCCTCCCCTACTTTGTAACCAAAATCAAATGATACATTAACTGCCTCCTTCTCACAATACCTCCCTAAACGGT